ATGGAAGCCCTCTTCATCTGGCTTTCCATCACCAGCTTCCCATCTTTCACCCACTCACATACATGCCCCTTTACAGGAAGGTGTGGGAACTCAAAGCACTGTTTAAAAAAATTATAGATTCTGCATGCCAATTAGAAAAGGAGAAGACTTTTTAAGGTCACTTGGCATACTTTCTACTTAGCTGTTTCAAGGTTAGGAAGAATCACTTTTCCAATTAGAGGGGATGTGAGACAGTGACAGTTCTTCCTAAAATAGATGAAACGGGTGATGCTAGTAAAAGAACTCTGACCCTAAGTTAAGAAAGGGGCTATTAAAATAATCAGTCAGTATTTCAAATGACACATCTAAGGAGGTGTACTAGCCAGTCATATAGCTTTTGTTCCTAAGAGCAACCTCTTTAACACAGACCACCAGCAAGAGGCAAATGCAAGAATGGAGAGGTTTTCTTGCTCCCAATCACCTCTATCTTAGAACCTTCTATGCATCAGAGAAATTTCTTTGTCAGAAAAGTGTTAGATGGAAGAATGGTGGAGATTACTAAGGCAGAAGTAGTTTTTCTCCCCTTGTATGAATAAAGAACACTTACTCAACAAATATTTTTTGAGCAGCCCCACATGTCAAGAGCTGAAAAGGGAATAGTAAAGAACTACATCTTTACTATGATAAAAGGGGGTTATCATCCAGAAGAATGCTGATTTTAGTGTTACCTTGCTATGGGAATTAGTGAAGGCAGATGCTTAAAGAAATCTGTAGTGTGACCTATAGTATTTCTCAGAGAGATTGGCTTTGAGGAAGTGATTTTATATTTTACTACTTAATATACCAGATATTCTGAATTCAAAAGGCAGTGAAAACAATGGAAGAAAAAATAGAAAGAAATGGATAGGATTCATTAAAAAACAAATATTAGATTTAGTAATAATGCCATAAATGATAATTGTTAGAATAATTTTTATAAGTAACATTTAATGGGCACTTACTATATGTCAGATCCTACGCCAAGCGCTTTCATGGATTATGTTATTTTTCATAACAATACTTTTATTTTTTTAAAGATTGATTTATTTATTTGAGAGAGTGAGTGTGTGTGCGTGTGTGCAAGCGGGGGGAGGGGCAGAAAGAGAGGGAGAGGGGAAGCAGACTCCCCAATGAGCGTGGCGCCCCACGCGTGGGAGATCATGACCTCAGCTGAAATCAAGCTTAACCAACTGAGTCACTCAGGTGTCCCCATAACAACACTTTGAAATATGCATATTATCATCCCCATTTTGTAGATGTGGAATTTGAGGCACAGGGAGGAGGTGACAGAGTCAGATTTGAAAATGGCTGTCTGAGTCTAACCACTGCTTTATGCAATCTGGGATGAAAATGCAGACACAAATTCCCTCAGCTGTACATGCTCCATTGGAGTCAGCTGTAAATGGGATCCATGCTCAGGGGATTACTGCAGATGAGCCCATAGTTTCTTGGTCCCATGGGAAAGGCTCCTGGCACTCATCTCTACTTTGTGATTTGTCATGTGTGTAAATAATAAGAATGTGCTAGATTTTCTCCTAAAACATATTTATTCCATTAATATCACCCTCGCCTTCTTTGTGTTTGAAAATCAGTAACATCCTGTTGTAAGCTTTCATCTTACTTGTCCTAAATGAAATTGAAAGGAGTTAAGGCATTTGGAAGCAACGAGCTTCAGGGAGTGAGCTGGGCATCTGAGAATATCAGAGCCTTGGCGAATTATTCTCAGTGCCTGTGGCATATGTGAGCCCAGAATGCCAGGCACTCTAAACAACGGAGTCCCTCCGTTCCCCAGCAGAGTTGAGATCCTCTCTGAGAACACTTCCTCGACTCTGGCCATCTCCTCCTTCAGAAGCTGGAAGAAGCCCATCGTTCCAAGATGAGGTGCTGAGAATCCACTGCTGCGCTCTTGACCACGTGGAGGCAGATTTTAAGGCTATCTGCTAGAAAAGAAGAACAGGACCTCCTGCTGAGAGAAAGTCTCCCAAATCGAGTTGGCTTTCTGGAAAACAACTGGATATGGTATTGGTCTTTATTACAGTTTCCACAGCCTTAAAAAAAAAAAAAAGTTGTTTATAAAACAAAAGCCGCATACAATTTGGTATGGTAACATTTTTTAGAGTTTTGTTTTTGCACAGCGGAAACCAGGGCTGATGTGGTCATGGTGGAAATGGAGCCAGTTCTGTTACCCCAAAGCACCTCTCCTAAAACACGAAACTGAGTAAGCCAGGGCTGGCCTTGCCAGGAACAGCCGGCATTGTCTGGCTCCTCGGAGAGACTTCCGGGACACAGTGCTCCGCCGGGCCGCCGCGCAGCAGCGAGCACGCCGCCCGCCCGGGCCCACGGCGCTCACGTTCGCGGGTGGAGAAAAGCTCCCCGGTGCCCTCCTTCCTTCCAGTCCCGTGCCAGTTCGTCACGGTCACGGCTTCCCGGACGGCGCTGTGGTACACACGGCTCTCGCCTCTCCTCTCCACTGCGAAGGCGTCCGGGGCAAACGGAGACACCTCTTGTTCTCTTGTTTGCAGTCCTTCAGTGCTTGGTCAGTGAAAGATGCCAAACGAAACATCCAAGTTTCCTGATGTTTTGAGCCAGATCATGTGAAAACTAAAGAAAATCCATGTTTGCTGGCTTTGAGAACAGGAGTGAGCAAACTACTTCTTAAGCTCAAAGGAAGCGATTTAGAAAAGAGCCAGACTCACGATGAGAAAGTAGAATGGGGAGGAATTCTATTAAAATTTGGGCATCGAGAGACCTCCTATAGTGACTGTGTCTCTACTTTCCATACAGCCAGAATAATTTATTTTCCCTCTTGCTGCCATTCTGTGGTGAAAAATTAAATTTAGTGCTGCAAGCAAAAATTGCAGGGAGGGGGCAGATTTCTTCTGGAAATTTTGGAGGCCACTGTACTATTTGGATAGTTTTTATACGTATATTTTCCTAGGAAATGAAAAATGGATACTTCATTTGTTTGATTCATTCAGTGGCATGGTGACTCAGGGCTGGACAAGAACAGACTAGGCTCCTGCCCTCAGGAGCTCACAGGTGATAAGTGGGGGAAATAGATAGTAAATTTGGAAACTCTGAAATGTATCATGTAATTTCTAACAGTGATAATGTTCTGAGGAAAAGTAAAACAGGGTAAGGAGATAGAAAATGAATAGGCAAGGTGGTCAGAGAAGGCCCCTGGGAAGAGAATATACTTAAAGGACTGAAGGACTGGCAGGAGAGAACCATGCACAGTTCTAGGGGAAGGGCATTGCAGGCAAGGCTGGTGGCTGAAGCTGAGTACAGGAGGGAAAATGGTGGTGGCTGAGATTGGAAGCTAGGCAGAGACCAGGGCAAATAGGCTCCTGTTTACCATGATAGGGAATACAGATGTTATTCCAAGAGTTATGGGAAGCCATTGATTGACTTTGTTTATTGTCAGCTTTTTTTCCTACCCAGTTCCAAAAAGAGAAAGAATTGCATCCATTCATTCAATAGTTATTCATCAAACACCAACCATATATCCAGCTGGGTCCAGTGCTTAAAAAGTTGTGACCTCTAGGGGTCCAGGTAGCCACAGCAGCTTGGGTCCTTTCCCCCCAATGTCCGCTGGCTGCCCGTGGCCTTCGCACCCCTGCCCTGGGCCACATGCTGGCCACAGGTGAGCTGCCCAGCACCACCCTGTGCCCCAAGAGGCGAAAGCAGGCCCAGGTTTGGCAGCTGGCCGTGGGGCTCGTGCAGGTTCCAGGTAGAGTGACACAGTCGTGCCTCCAGCACACTGATGCTACCCCTTTGACTTTAGAGGACATCAATTACACGTTCTTTACTCTTGACACTCTGTGGCAAGATTGACCCAGGAAAACTTGGTAAATTCCCACTTTATGAAAGACGTGGGCTTAGACGCTTTGGATCAAGCGGAGATTATCATGGCCATTGGAGGACGCATTTGGGTTTGAAATTCCTGATGGAGAAGCAGAGAAGTTCATGTGTCTACAAGAAATTGTAGATTACGTTGAGGATACGAAGGATGCACATGAATAAAATACCAGACTCCTCTTCTTCACTGAGAGAAGACTCAGAAGATACTGGCGAGTGTCTGCAAGTGAGAACGTGTTTTTGCATTATTGCTGACTTTGACAGTGTAATTCTGCTTAGACTTGTATTTAGATTGTCTAAGTGTTTTTGCCCTTTGAATATGAATCTAGAAAACCAAAAGGAAAAAAATAAGGTTGGGACCTCTGTCATCAAATGAGGGGATAATAAAATGATGTGGACAACCAGAACAAAAGTGGAATGAAGAAAATTCCAGAAGAGAGACAAAAATACTACCACTAATACTAATGAACTAGGAACACAAATTATAAATACTAATGCTGGTTAATAGTAGTGCTGTGCCCTAGGTACCATTCATATATTTTTTCACAATGACACAATGTCTTATGTACAATTATTATTATTCCCTGTAAATAGGAAACTGAGGTCACAAAAGCAAAGTAATAGCATAAGGTCAGAAATCAATTAGGCTCAGAAGCTAGGATTTGAATTCCTGTTTGTCTGATTCTAAAGCACAGGGTTTACTTAGAGGAAGGAGCTACTGTGACAAGTCAAGTTTGGGTAACTCAGCATGTGTGATGGTATCTCCCGGACTTGGGTCAGATTGGTTTGAGGTAGATACTCCAAAGTTAAATAAGTAGGGCACCATGAAGTTGGCTATGAAGATCTTTAAAAACCATTCCAAAACATTGCAAGGAGGACAGCCCACAAATGACCTTTTCCTTCATAAAACATGTTACGATTAATCTGTAATAATAGTGTTCTATTTGTTCCTCATTTTTCCCTGTCTCCCCTGCTGCATTGTAGCTGCCGTCAGGGCAAAAACCATGTCTGACTGTTCATCATTTTATCTGCAGAGCCTAGCACAGTGCCTAGAACACAGTAGGGACTCAATTAATATCTGTTGAATGAATTAATTAATTAAACGTCATTTCACTTCTTTCCAGGGCCTGCCTTGGCTGCCGTGTACCCCTCCAGACAGCATGCAGAGACAGCGGAGAGTATAATAAACAGCGGAGGTATTTTGCAATTCATGGCTGACCCATGCTGACCCTTTATTTAATTAAATCTTTCACTTGTGAATGAATCATTTCTTCCATTAATTAAAATAGGATACACATATGTCTCTGTAAAGTACGTGTCAAAAGAAAGCATTCCGCCTAAAATATACAGGAGTCGCTGACCACCGTGGCGAGTCATCCATCATAATCTGCTAAAAAGATCGGCTCTGGAATGAGAACGAGCACAATCATCTCTTATGCCCTCAAAAATATTAGTTGCAGCGTCGCAACCAATCTGTCAGCTCCTGTGTTAATATAAGGAGGAACGCAGAGTGGGAAGCCTGAGAGAAGCGTTTATTTTGGAGAGCAGAGCATGCGGTCCCAGCACTCCAGGGATGCCATCATCTCTAATAATTGCTTGGAGCTTGGCTCTCTGGAGACTTGTATCTTGATTGTTGGAGCTGGAAGGCAGCTGGGATTGCACCGTTTGCAAGGCTCCACATCCACTCCTTCGGTTCCTCTGGAAGCCAGAATGAGAGCCACAAGAAAGTGGACCATGCTTTTCAAGTGGCAAAAGCCAATTTGTGTTTCCATTCACCCTCCAGTCTCCCTCTGGAAGCAATGGGATGCAAAAATCTATTTGTGATCTTTAACTCCAGGAAACAGTGAGCATATCCTGCTATTGTTACAAATATTTTGCCTTGGAGCAAACTCTGCACTGCCCAAACCCCGAAGGGCCTCGATGAAGTACCTAACCATGTTTAAACCTCACCACTGAGGCTTCTCCAGGCCAGATGAAAAGAAAGGAGGGATACAGCAGTAACTCAGCTTAGAAGTACCTCTGGTCCTCTAAAACAAATTTTAAATATTTTGCAAGAATTCAAATGCAACAGTTTTTGAAAGAGTAAGAAATTGTGCAGCCTATTCCCTTAGTGAAGTGTCAGGCCCTGCAGGAGCAGAAATGATAAACACTCTCCCCGCATATTTAGGAGGTTGTTTCAGAGGCCAAGCGATTGCTAAACCAGTCGTGGCAATCGAATGTGTTTTATTACCAGACTTTTATGTTGAATATTAACTGCACTTTTATTTTTTCCTTCACATGAATCCTAGAAGGCAGGCGCAGAAATGTTGTAGGAATGGTAAGGACATTTGTGATCACTGGGGTGATTTCCTGTGGTGGAAAAAGGCCCCTCCTGGGAAAGTGACTTGTCCAAAGCCCCAGGGCAGGTGAGCGGCAGGGCCAGGACTCTGAAGTATGTCTTCCATCTCATAGTCCTGGGCTCGCTCTCCTGCGTCTGTGCTGAGGGCCGAGTCACAGGTGACGGATTCCCCAGCACGTGATAGGTACGCTGCCAGTGAATTGCTTAATGCTCTGATTCCAATGGTGTAAGAGATTCAGGATTAGTTGACAAATCTCTCAGGCACACGGAAAAAATCAATAGCTTTTCTTAGACTTCAAGTCCAAGTGATCTGGATTATCTCAGAGGTTAGTCTTAGTCACTGTTGTCTTTAAATTTTTGGTACTTTCTCCTGTTTTCAACACTTGTCTGATACTCATTGGCTTATCTCCTGGATCAAGATACAGGAAACTGAAAAGAAGAGGTAGGTGAGAGATTTAACATTTAGTAGAAATGGACAACAGCACTGCAGGATTCATGTTTCTGTTCTATTACCCTGATAGAGTAGTGAGTAAGACCATAGACTCCAGCCTCAAGTCGCCTGGGGTTCAAATGGGATCTTTGACATTTAGAAGATGTATAGTCCAAGATCACTGATCTTGGGCTTTTTCAATGGCTGAGCCTCAGTTTTCTTCTCTGCAAAATGGGAATTACAGTATCTACTTTGTAGGACTGTTGTGAGGATCAATTTAAAAATCTCTTGGAAATCCCATTGCTATGTGTCATTTTGTGACATGTATACATATGTAAACAGTAATAGTAGAACATGAGCAATGAAAAAATTAGACCATTGATTTGCTTTATGTTGATGGAAGCCCTAATTAAAGGTCATTTTTGAGAGAAGAGCATCCTCATGCTGCGTGATGATGCTACTATGTCCTCTCTCTCTGCCCCCTCCCATGCCACCTCAGTTTAGATGCTCTGTGTCCCTTGTCTACGTGGTTGTAGCAGCCCCTGCTCTCCCTCCTCTTCCTCTTTTTTTTTTTTTCCATCTACAATCTAGTTCTTCTTGAGTAACTTCTGTAAAACACATATTTGGCCATAGCATGCTCTAGCTTCCAAGCCTTCCATGAGTCCTGTGGCTCATAGGATAAAGCAGTACAGTCTGGTCCCAACCCATTATTCTAACTCATTTTACCAGCATCATCCCTACACCCTGCATTCTAACCAAACAGGACTACCCACTGTTGCCTGAACATCCCACACAATTATACACCTCTGTGCCTTTGCTCATGATGTGTTCTTGGCCTGAGATCTTCTTTCATCACTTTAGCACCTACTAAATTCCTGGTTATCCATCAAGGCCCAGCTTCAATTTCACCTCTCCAATTAATCCTTTCCTTACTCCACTCCCCTCTTGGCAAAATTAATTACTCCTTGCTTTGTGTTCGATGCTCCTTTGTTCTTACCTCACAAATAGCACTTACTCTATTAAGTTATATTTTGTTGTATATATTTCTGTCCCCAGCTAAACCTGGATTAGCAAACATTCAAAACCATTCCTTCTTTCCATGCCTTTGGTTCTTTTCCCTGCTGAGATCAGAGCTGCTTATAATCAGGTTTAACCAGTGCTCTGGGCAACCCTCTACATCCATGAGAGTTGATACCAGTGTGAAATATATTTGCCAGTCTGCAGCTAAACTCTGACCTGCCCTGAGTGCAGGGCCATGTCTTACTTATCTCTCTACCTCTAGTACCTGGTGCAATACCTAGTACTTAAGAAATGTTAAGTACACGAAGGTGAAGTATGACAGCACTGAACTATTAGATGTGAACTTGAAGGAACAAGGCTGGGCACCAAGAGCATGGAAGGGAGGTGTAGGCTGTTAGTATTACTCGACACCACACTTCATATCCTGGAGCCTGGGATAGGGAAATGTCAGTTCTGATTATGAAAGGAGCTCAGATGTGGGAAATTGTTGCAAAGTAACTCAAAACTGTCTTATACACACATACACATACAGACAGTCTTGTTTGGTAGAAAGATGCCTCCCATACACAAGAAACTTTTAATACCATATGGAACTTATCAGCCATGTGGTAAGGTATTTATCTTCTTCATCCTTCTTCGCCAAATATTTCCAAACAAGTCTTTGTATCCAATTTTATAGAAAAAAATATATCTCATTTTATAATGTAGGTTAGTTGGAAAGTGGGGAGATTCATTTTTTTTTTTTTAAAGATTTTATTTATTTATTTGAGAGAGAGAGAATGAGAGACAGCATGAGAGGGAGGAGGGTCAGAGGGAGAAGCAGACTCCCTGCCGAGCAGGGAGCCCGATGCGGGACTCGATCCCGGGACTCCAGGATCACGACCTGAGCCGAAGGCAGTCGCTCAACCGACTGAGCCACCCAGGCGCCCCGGGGAGATTCATTTTATAGAAATTAAAATTATTATTATTGTTCAGCAAACATTTACTGGATCTTTGCTATGTACCAGGCACTGACTTAACTGCTTAATATGTATTGTCTCATTTGGTCTATACAACAGTGCTGTGAGGTTGGTACCATGATTATTCCCATTTTGCAGATGAGGAAATTGAGCCTCAGATTAAGTAAACTGCATAACATTTTACATCAAGTAAATAACAGAAGTGAGAGTCAAAACAAGATGTGCTAAATTTCAGAAACCATACTCTTAACCATCATGTTATATCTCATGAGAATACGCATTTCATCCTGTAATAGTCAGCTTTTTCACAAGAATGCTGTCTAACAACCACCTCAAAGCTCAAGGGCTTAAAATGACAAGCATTTATCTCATGATCACAGGTCTGCAGATCAACTGTGATTCAGCTGAGTTAGGCTGAGCTCAGCTGGAAGGGTCTGTGGGTTCAGTTTATATTTGTTCCACATTTTTATTTTGGGGTCAAGGCTAAAGGGATAGTAGTTACTCAGGGCATCTTGTGGCAGGCAGTTCACTAGTGCACAAGATCAAAGTGAAACTGAGAAAACACATTTCAGGTAAGCGTCATGTCCACAAACATGTCATCTGCTAATCGCAGGGCCAAACCCAACATTAGTGGAGGAGGAAGGTGAAGGCCCATGATGGGATGGGGATTGGGGTAGATATTTACTGAATAAGAATACAGTGTATCACACAGTACTTTTATTTATTTATTTTTAAAACAAAGTCTAGAATACATAATCCTTTGCATTTGGGCAGGTATTATTTTATTTTTGTCCCTGTGCAAAGGTACAAAATGCCAAAGCTACTATTGAAGATTTTAGCCCTTCTATCCCTTATGCAGTTCTCTGCTGAGCACTAAAATGCAGGCTCTTGACCTCTTTAGAACAGAACCATTGTTGGCAGATCACAAATCCACACTATTCTTCACCTGACTGTTTGCCAAGTTCATAAAGGTGTTTATATTTTTTAAAAAACCTTGCAATAATTATATTGATTTTCTCAAGAGCAATGTATTTTCAGAAACCCAGAAGTTCTTGTGAACAGCTCTTATAAAGCATCATAGAATGAGGTCAAAGAGTTTTAGAGCAGCCTTCGAGGGCCCTTAGTTCAACCTCCTCATTTTACAGATGAAGAAACAAATAGTTTCAGTTTCAAACTTCCAATTATTGCATATAGTGGGCTACATTTTTTTTTTCTCATGTAAGAAAAGCAGTGAGAAAAAAAATCTAGGGTAACATTTACACGTCTTACTGCAACTGTAATTCTGTAGTGGGGACCTCCACTCAGTTTCTTTTATGAGAACCCTCCTAGGACCTACTAACTTTATCACTATAATCAACTTCCCTGATTGTCTATGAAAAACAAAAATCAAATCTTTCCCTTTCTCTTTATAATTTTTATAATCTCTATTTTCAGAGCCAGCAGAACAGGCTAAGAGACACCTGGTCCCCAGCTCCAGTGTCCTGAGGACATCTAGGCCTATTTTCCACAAGGGAGAGAGAAAGAGAGGCACCAAGCCTAGTTTTCCAGAAAGGGAATTATGAATATCTTTCCAGGCCAAATACGTTTGATATTTAGCTAATGTTCTCCCTGATTAAAACCATAGCTTTAGAATGGAGAATATGTTGGGGTGAGAGAGGGAGCAAGGATTAGAAAAATCTAGAGTGAAATGTACAATTGATTACATAAATATCTTTGAATACTTTCTAGGAGCCTGGCCTGGTGTTCATTTCCAGGGTTATGATGTGACCAAGACAGAAAAGGGTCCTGTGCTCTTAATGCTTCCAGTCTAGCCTGGACATGTAACGAAAGAGTTAACAAAGCAAAAGAGCAGGGTGTCAGGAGGGTGTGTAAGGTAGAATATAATCTAATGTATATGGGGAGAAGCTGAGAGGTAGTCTGAGAAGGTCTCCCTGGGAACAGGATGTTTTCCCATAAGGGCCTTTGCGGGGGCTGAGGTAGAGAGTGTTCCAGGCAGAGGCGAGAACATGTGTAAAGGCCTAATGGAACGGAGAAGTAGTCAAAGAAGCTGAAGCTTTGCCAAGGAGGGGAGACTAATGGAAGACTGGGCAGGTAGTCAGGGCCTAGACTGTGGGCACCTTACAAGACAAGAGTAGAGTGTGGGACTTTATTACAAGGGCAAAGCCTTTGTAGTGGGAGAATGACATAATAATAGGATTTGCATTTGTCAAAGGAACACTTTGGCTGTATTTTCAAGAATAAATGAGAGAGGGGGAGAAAGAGAAAATTGGGGAATGTAAGAAAATGACACAAAGAACTAAATAAGAATCTAGAGCGAGTGCATCCCGATCTTCAGCCCAGGTTGGCTGTAGGTGACGCAGAGAGGACGGTTGGCACGCATGGGTACTTGTGTGCACATGTGCACATGTTCATGGATCCTCTCTTCTCCCTAAACTTGCCCACAGCTTCCAGATAGCCCAGCAATAGGATCCCTCCTTTGGGATTTGAGAATATCTCCAGAACATCCTGGTTAAAGGACAAGAACAGCTTTAGAGTTAAAGCTGGCAAACTGGACGCATATATTTGGCTCCCTTTCTCCTGGTAACCTACTAACACAGAAACAAAGAGGATGGAAAAGGGGAAAACAGCAAAACCTGGGGACAGAAATGCTGTCAGACTGGCAGCAAACCTAGCAGACTTGGTCAACCAAGCCGTGTGCTAAGCCTGCAGTGGGGAAACTCCAAAAGTGAAGCAGGAATTAGTGGCACCTGCTGTGTCTGAAAGTGAGAACGAAGGTGGGCCAGACACAGGAGGGTTAGGGGAGAGGGTCTAGAGGTAGGGAGGTGTCCCCTGAGCCCCCTGCCTCCTATGCCAGCAAGTTGAGTGACTCCTTCTTCACTGTAGTAAGTGACAGGTGAGATTCATTTTCGAGAGACGGTAAACGGGATTTCTGAGGCGGAGATGCTAGGCAGAGGTGAGGTATGGGAGGATGCTGTATCGACAACAGAAAGACTCAAGGAATATTGATGGCCCGACTGAATATTTGGGCTCCAGCCTTCTTCCCACACTCGGCTCCGAGAACATAGCAGTCAGGCATATACTTGCCAAGTAGGGGCCTGCAGAGTCTTCTCTGGACATCTGACCAGTCCAAGAGGAGAGGCCTAGGTTGAGGGTTCCCTAGCAAACAGTCTGGTCGTGTGATCCCCCCTCCCAGGGCCAGGTTGGAGCAGGTCAGAGGGTTCTGGAAGAGACTCCGAGAAGATGAAATCAATAGTTACTAATGTGTTTGAATGTATTGAGAGGCTTTTATGCAACTGGGGCAGAATTTGGGTTTGATAAGTGATAAGTATATTAAAAACCAAGCAAATGAAAAAACAAGTCATTCCAGGTGGGAAAAGTTTTGTGCAGGAAAGAAAAAGTACTCTTGGTATCCCATACGACTTAGCTGCCCATAGCGTTTATAGTCATGGTGATGTAAACACTGGATATCAATCTAATGGAATCACAACACCACTATATTGGGCAGATGGAATACTAGAAGTGTTTTGTGTGTGTGCGTGCCTGTGTGTGTTAGAGGTGGAATGTATCTATAGAGAGCTGAGTCGCCATCTTCCATGTTGGAAAACCAATAGATAATATCTATAATTGAAAAATCATGTAGCTACATAAATCTGTTATTTGGAAATTTACAGTTAAATATTAACAGAATCAGACGAGTTGAAAGAGGCTGCCTTTGAGAGCATGAAATGGAGGTGGGAAGCACTGCATGGCTTATTGACTTGCATTTTTCATATACATAAACCTACTTGACTCTTTCATATATGTGTATATATAATGTTAATGAAAATGAACAGTAAATTTAAAAAGGAAAGAAAAAAGTAGTCATGTTAATATATCCCATTATTAGCTTTTTTTTTTTTAAGATTTTATTTATTTATTTGAGACAGAGAGAATGAGAGAGACAGAGAGCACTTGAGAGGGGGAAGGGTCAGAGGGAGAAGCAGGCTCCCTGCCGAGCAGGGAGCCCGAAGCGGGACTCGATCCCGGGACTCCAGGATCATGACATGAGCCAAAGGCAGTCGCTTAACCAACTGAGCCACCCAGGCGCCCCCAATGGGGAAATTCTTTATGAAATCACTTAACATGGTGTGCATACTTGTCTGTTTGCATTCTTTTCTTACTCTTTTTTTTTTTTTTAAGATTTTTTTTATTTATTTGACACACAGAGAGAAAGCACAAGTAGGCAGAGAGGCAGGCAGAGAGAGAGGCAGAAGCAGGCTCTCCACTGAGCAGGGAGCCCGATGCGGGACTCGATCCTGGGACTCCAGGATCATGACCTGAGCCGAAGGCAGTCGCTTAACCAACTGAGCTACCCAGGCGCCCTTCCCATTATTAGCTTTTTAATAAAGCTTTCTCCTGGGTACTACCACAATACCAAGTATACATTCATGGCTTTACCTGGTATTATGGGTTAAATTGTGTTTCTCAAAGATGTTGAAGACCTAACCCAAAGTACCTCAGAATGTGATTGTATTTGGAGACTGGGTCTTTGTAGAGATAACCAAGTTAAAGCAAGAGTGGGACCTAATCCAATATGACTGACATCCTTATAAAAAGGGGAAATTTGGACACAGAGACAGACACACACAGGGAGAATGCCATGTGAAGATGAAGGTGGAGATCAAGCAATGTACCTACAAGCCAAGGAGAGCCAAAGACTGACAGCAAACCATCAGAAGCTTGACACCTTGATCTTGGACTTCCAGCGTCCAGTAATGTGCAACAACACACTGTTGTCCGAGACTTGCAGTCTGTGGCCCGTTGTTATGGTGGGCCCTCAGGAGCTCATACACATGGTATGCGATGGCTCACTTACGTGCACTCTGTAAAGTAAAGGACCGTGTCTCTGACTCTTCCTCTGGAGGAAGAAGAAAAGGAAGAGAGGAAACAAAAGGACGAAGGGGAGAAGAGAAGGACCAAAATGTGCCTAGATTGACCTTGACTCCAGAGGGGAAAAAACTGCCTTTGTGCAAGATGGGTTTTACTTCTGCCTTTAATTCTTTTATTATTTTTAAAATTTTTTATTTATTTATTTTGAGATTTTATTTATTTATTTGACAGAGAGAGAGAGAGCACAAACAGGCAGAGGGGCCGGGAGAGGGAGAGGGAGAAGCAGGCTCCCCGCTGAGCAGGGAGTCTGATTCAGGCTCCATCCCAGGACCTCGGGATCATGACCTGAGCTGAAGGCAGGCAATTAACCGACTGAGCCACCCAGACGGCCCTTTAATTCTTTTATAACTGGAACATATGTATGCACTATGTTTGTAGTTGAAAAGTAAGTAGATAAAACATATACATATACTAAAAAAAAAAAAAAAATGGAAAAGACAACTCTTCAATTCTTCAAAATCTCCAAATGTGAGAATAACTAATTGATGATGTTGAAGTTTAATAAATGGCATTGAGGTTAATAAAGAATAAAAATATTGTATTTTAATTTGTTCCTTTTCCCTAACAAAGTAGGATAACTGTTTTTGGGCAGGCTGGGCTCTGTCTGACTTCTCCCTGGGAACACACAGAGTCAGGGAGACACTGACCTGGGGTAGTCCTTCTTGGACTTGCTTGGAACATTTAGGAAATTTTCCAGGATTGGTCCTTGACGGATATAGGAAGTAAGGTAATAGCTACCATTGTCCAGGTTCCAGTACATGATACATAAACCACACGCAGCCTCTCTGGTTCACCAGGTTAAAAGTTATTACCTGAAATCAATTGAAATAAAAAGAGTCACATCTGCCATGGTACACAATTCACTTCTCCAGACGGCTTTGGCCTGCGCTACGGGACACACACACACACACACACACACGGAGACACACACTTACTCACTTTGGGAGAGCAGAGGCAGCTGCAGAAGCCAAAAACCTCCCCAGTCCTAATTAAACTCTCCAAGTTTCCAGGCAACACAGCCAAGGAAAAAAATCATTTCCAAGCCGAAGAGCCCCAGCCCCCAGCCTCCACCCCAGCAAAGGAAACGGGTCATTTGGTTTAATCAGCCCACGTGCACATTCTCTCTCCCCAGGTTGCCAAGAAGGGGCCTGTACCTAGCAGAGGTATTTGTGTAATCAAAGCTTCTGGAACTTTCCCTGCCAAGGCTACCAATGTGAATAGGCTCCTGAGGTAAAAATGTTCCCCCTGCTGGGGACGGCGCCCTTGAAGTCTACATCAAAATCAAGCCAGGGTCACAGCTGTTAAGGCAGCCCACCGTGGAAAACTTGCAAGAAATCCCAGCCTGTCCTACTCTTTTGCCTCAAGTCTAGAGGAAACAGGCCGCAACTGCAAGTGAGAAAGAGAGGAGCGATGGGGGGGGGGGGGTGGGGTGGAGAAGGAGAAAGAGAGAGAGAGGACAGAGGAGAGAGAGAATCTGCTTTCGAAAAGGCAACACTTCTAACTAGTACTTTGGGGTGGAAGGACAAAGCCACTCCGGAACTTTGCCCCCTTCACCAAGGCAACCTCACCCCAGTCGCGCTCACTCATTCCTCCCCTGTGAGCTGGGGGTCGCAGGTTGGCCGAGATCCACTAGGTGGCAGCAGATTAACTCTTCCAATGCCAGAATGGGCACAGCGCCGACCGGAATTGGGTCTGAAAACTTTGCATCTGGTCATTTCCCTCAAAGGAAGGGAAAAACAAATGGCTTTTTCTGTACTTACGGATCCTTGGCATGCAGCGTAGATATTGGAGGAAATCCTCTGAAGGGAAGATTGCTTCCTGGTCACCCATTCACGTGGTGGCTCGAGGCTGGGTGAAATGTGATTGTGTATGCGCCAGGTTTCATGATTTCAGTGACACTTGGTTCACAAGTGGCTCGAGGGACTAAAAGATCCTTTGAGAAATTTATGCTCACCTTCAGTTCACTTCAACAAATACTAAATACAGTGAGAAAGGAGTGCATTCCATTTCCCCCCGCTGATGGCCAGGGCCTCTGCCCTTGAGGATTGTGGGGACCACAGGCATTAGATGAGGAGTATTCTCATAGTTAACCACCTTGGATGAGTAAAGGAAAGGAGACTCAAGTTTGCTATCCACAAAAAGGAAAGACTTAAGTAAGTCTTAAGGAAAAATAGTCTCCTGAAGATCATTTTACATCGCAACTTCTCTGATATGGGCAGCCTTATGTTTTTAGGGCGAGCAAGCCCTAAAATATGGAATCCATCAGAAAGAAACTTAGCCGGCAGGGGTTAAGAATGCTTGCTGTTCGGATGACAAGGAAAACAAATCATTCTCCTGGGTATTCTAGCCTCTGTAAAGCACCCCCTCAATTCTGCCTATTAAACTTTTGCCACAAATATAAAAATACCGTGGTGTTGATTGGAGGAGCAGGGCGGGAAGGTGAAATTGATTTACTTTAGAAAGGGGGGAGAGTGTCACCAGCCACAGGAGAAATCAATTCAGAAATGGGGAAGGGAGCTGGGGGTGGAGGACAAGTGCTCTTGCAGCTGGGTTTAGGAGAGATTGGAAGCATACAGGGAGAAGGGGGAAAGAAGGAGGAGGAGGGCACCGTATGTGTATGATATATATGACTAGAGAGGGATGGGGAAAGGCAATTTTAAGAGGTTTTGCTGTGCATTTGGGATTCTCTTTGATACGCTTCAAGAGAGCTCGGAGAAGATTAAAGTTGCCTTACAATGATTCTTATTTCTTGGACTGGAAGGCTGCCGAGGCCACGAGCAAAGCACCATCCGGGTCACCAACCCCTTCCTTTTCCTACATGTCTAACTGGTGGGACAGTATCCAGGTTGTAATTTCTTTCAGGAAAAGTCATCCCAGGATCTCCAGTAGATTATACAAAATTAAAGTTTTGTTTTTAATTTTTATTGTTGTGTTAACCACCATACATTACATCATTAGTTTTTAATGTAGCGTTCCATGATTCATTGTTTGCGTATAACACCCAGTGCTCCATGCAGAACGTGCCCTCCTCAATACCCATCACCAGGCTAACCCATCCTCCCCCCCTCCCCTCTGGAACCCTCAGTTTGTTTTTCAGAGTCCATTGTCTCTCATGGTTCGTCTCCCCCTCTGATTTCCCCCCTTCATTCTTCCCCTCCTGCTATCTTCTTCTTCTTTTTTTTTTTTTAACATATATTGTATTATTTGTTTCAGAGGTACAGGTCTGTGATTCAACAGTCTTGCACAGTTCACAGCGCTCACCATAGCACATACCCTCCCCAATGTCTATCACCCAGCCACCCCATCCCTCCCACCCCCCACCACTCCAGCAACCCTCAGTTTGTTTCCTGAGATTAAGAATTCTTCATATCAGTGAGGTCATATGATACATGTCTTTCTCAGATTGACTTGTTTCTCTCAACATAACACCCTCCAGTTCCATCCACGTCGTTGCCAATGGCAAGATCTCATTCCTTTTGATGGCTGCATAATATTCCATTGTATATATATACCACATCTTCTTTATCCATTCATCTGTCGATGGACATCTTGGCTCTTTCCACAGTTTGGCTATTGTGGACATTGCTGCCATAAACCTCAGGGTGCAGTACCCCTTCGGATCACTACATTTGTATCTTTGGGGTAATACCCAGTAGTGCGATTGCTGGGTCGTATGGTAGCTCTATTTTCAACTTTTTAAAGAACCTCCATACCGTTTTCCAGAGTGGCTGCACCAGCTTGCATTCCCACCAACAGTGTAGGAGGGTTCCCCTTTCTCCGCATCCCAGCCAACATCTGTCGTTTCCTGACTTGTTACAAAATTAAAGTTTTTATCATGCTAATCCTAGTACGCAAGTTCTCATTCTCAAATGGGCGGCCTCAGCATTTAAATTCTACTCCCATGATTTCACCGAAAGGACAGGAAGTATCACAGTAAGACAACACTCTGATCATCAAGTGATTTTTGGATGGTGATATCATGTTGTTTTCTTGAATCATTACCATACTTTTGCTGGGTACATGGCAGGGCTAATAGGTGTTTGATGGAATTGGAGTTTACAATGGCTTCCCTAGCCTAGCTTCTCAATTGGGAGCAAGAACCGTTATGTCTTGGAGAACTTGAAATGAGTTAGGTCCTAGGACCCTGATCATGCTACCATCTTTTCCCTCTGCTGGATTCTCCTTACCTCTGCCCATCCCTTTACCACCCAACCATATCTGGTCTGCTTCGCAAATTCCTACTTTAAAGTGAAGACTGTTGAAATGTTCTGGCCTTTAAGACACCTGCTCTGACCATTCACCCATACCCTCTTGGACATAAGTCACCATCTGGTACTGCTGTAATGTTTTCATATCTAGCCTCCTAACTAGAGTGAAGACGCAAACTGTCTTTGTATCTTCAATGCCCAGAACGGTGCCTGGCACCCAGGTGCTGCTCAGTAAACCACTGGACAAAGAGCTGTCATATATCTTGTCATCCCATGCTGAGAAAGCCCAGGAAATCTATCATTTTCAAATACTTAACCCAAAACTCAAACTGCAGTTGGTGCTAGGGAATTCAGTTACTCTTCTAATAATGTGTAATTCCCATTCTCCCACTGGCAGTCTCAGCACAAAGCTCACTCAAATTCACAGAAAGTCGAGGAAAACATCTAACATGATTTGCTGATCATCAGAGCTGTAGGAATATGGTTCTCAAAGCCTTTAGTAATGGCCATTTCTGTGCCTCAACTTCTGCTTTTGGCATGAAACCCTTACTCTTTTAAAAACTGTTTACTTTTTTAAATATAAAAGTACTCCATGCTCATTAAAGAAAATTTGCAAAAGGAAGAAAAGCAGAAAAGCACAAAACAGTTTTCAGAGTCTCACTATGTAAATAGTGAGTCTATAACATTTTGGAGTATGAACGATTCTCTTACTTATGGAATTTAATAAAAACCAGATGACAGCACCCGCGGTCTGCTAAAATCAGAGGCGGCTCCCACGGCGAACACATAGGTGGATTTCGAGGCTGGCTCCTGCAGCACCCGGGGCGGGGTTGGGGGGGAGCACCTGCAGGCACGCCCTGGTGACCAGCACTAGGTGGGGGGAGAGGAGTTAATGGAAAGGGTGAACTCGCACTTTTGGGTGCTTTGGCTTGAGCCTATGGCGCTTCGTACCTTGCCAACCACTCTTCTGTTCTCTTCAATCCCCTGGAGTCATGACAAGTCTCAGGCTGCAGTTCCTTCCGGCTCCCATTCATGCATTACTGGTCAATTCTTCCAAGCAGCAGTGACGGTCTCCCGGGCCTCCCCAACAGCTCCATGACCTTCACTGCCACTGCCTTGACTGAACTTGCCTCGAGCTGCCATCATACTTGATCTCTTGCATCCAGCATGGCGCTCTTCCTTGGACCCTTAGTGGTCACCCCAGCACTGTCCCGTGAGAGTGTAGTGGGACAAACAGCTCACCAGAATTGAAAGATCACGGTAGAAAGAGGACACCTCGTTGATGTAAGGAAACTGGTGGAGGCAGTTTTCAGACTGAGGACAGTCGACCATCTGGATGCCTCGTCAGAGAGCTGGCACTCACTCATCTGCACGGAACGAGCAGCCCCTGGAAGAGCATATACAGACTTCGTGACTTGGGAATGGATTTTTGCACGTGTACATATATTTGTTTTATTGGATGTCTGCAGTGTTTCTGAGCCCAGAGTAAGGAATCAGTGCTGTCACTACACAAAATTAACTTGTGCTCTTTGCCCTGTACTGAGTAGGTTGCCGGGGACACAAAGATACACATGACAGTCTAGTAGGGAGACAACCATGCACCTGTATGGAAGGAAGGGAATTTATTTTTATTTTTATTTTATTTAATTTTTGTAAAGATTTTATTTATTTGACAGAGAGAGACGGGAACACAAGCAGGGGGAGTGGGAGAGGGAGAAGCAGACTCTCCGCCGAGCAGGGAGCCCGACGCGGGGCTCGATCCCAGGACCCTGGGATCATGACCTGAGCCAAAGGCAGATGCTTAACGACTGAGCCACCCAGGCACCTGGGAAGGGAATTTAATATTTATTGAATGTCTCTCTGTGCTTGGCATTGTACTAGATTTTTTTTTTTTTTTAATGAACACATTTAATCGCAACAAAATGTGAATTGGTTAGTATTTCTTTTCATTTTATGTTAGGAGGAACTGAGGCTCAGGGAGCTATTTACTTCCCTAACTCAAGCTGCTGGGATTTTGCACAACAGCTGAAAACCCCCGTCTAGGTCAGTGACATACGGTGGCAGGGAGACATGGGCTAGAGCGGCTGGCTGAGGCTGGGGGGTATGGCCACCTTGCAGTCCGCTTTGCCTTGCTTTCTGAGTCAGCTGTGACTTGGGAGTGACACTATCACAGAGAAGCTGTTCAAGTCAGCTGCAGCCCGACTGCCTTGCAAGCAGGTGGGGCTATTCCTCTGCTTCGTAAACGCTAGTTTTGAAGGAGGCATTTAAATTCTCTCCATCCTTCCAGCTAAGCTTCAGTCTTCCCCCGATCCTTCCCTGACAGTGCTGAGGAGGGACCGGCAACACGACTCTGATGTGTAGATAAAGATGGATTTGTGTGGCTACTGGTGGTTGGCCTCAGGTCCGTGTCTTGACATTTCTGAGCTCTGGTGCCCCATCCATACGATGGCACAATCACTACCTGACAGGGTTATGATTCTGTTTCTTGAGATATAAGAAGTGGTGGCTCACAGAGCACATGGAACCTTTCAATGCTTCATAAACGTTGGCTCGTCTCTTCACTGCTTTCTAAGCGCCACTGTTAGGGACCTATATGGTCAGCACTGGTTCATGTCCTAAAATATTTTCTGTTTTTCCTGTGTGTGTTAATCTTTGTCCCCCAACCCATTTCCCTCTTCCACCAGCTGGTCTTAAGTTCTTTGAGGGAAAATACCATGTCATATATTAACACCTTTTAGGGTGTATGACCCATAGCAAACATTTTTAAAAAATTGATTGATTGATCGATTCTGTCTCGTTGACACCGTGTTCTGACTGTGAAGCGACATGTGAGCAGTGGAGTATTGGAACCAGCTCATACTGGCTTGTGCAAGTCACATTAAATTCTCAGGGAATGCGTGGGCCAGTTGTTAAACTGTGGATACTTAAAATTTTGCTATGGTAGGAGTATTTACACCACAGAAATTGGCAAACCCTGCGACTCAGGGTTTTGCTCCCTCTCCACCTCTAAACACACACAGAGAACCAGTTGTGTGCTAGATGTCCTGATAGTCTAATTTCTGGTGCATCATTATTTTAAAGAGACTTCCAGATGATATTTAGCTTGGTTTTACCAGAGCAGAAACCTGCAGAGTATCTTGAACCAGCTATACCGATTAATAGGATTTCCAGCCTTAGAATTGGAAACTTAAAAGATGTCACTTACGGGGCGCCTGGGTGGCTCAGTTGGTTAAGCGTCTGCCTTCGGCTCAGGTCATGATCCTGGAGTCCTGGGATCGAGTCCCGCATCGGGCTCCCTGCTCGGTGGGGAGTCTGCTTCTCCCTCTGACCCTCCTCCCTCTCGTGCTCTCTGTCTCTCATTCTCTCTCTCTCAAATAAATAAATAAAATCTTAAAAAAAAAAAAAAGATGTCACTTACTTTAACCTCCCTTCCAGTGTAGAAATATCTTCTTTGACATTTCTGATGAATGCCCATTTGGCCTCTACAGAACAACACTCTTAAGGATAAGGAACACATTTATTATCTTCCAGGCAGTCTTTCTCATGGAGAGCTCCATAGTTACTCAAAAATTTTCCTTCGTAAGGATCTGTTCCTACCTCTCCTGTAACTTCCACCAATTGTTCTTGGGCCCGCCTGTTTTCTGTAGCAAAGCAGAACGTCTACACTCACCGAGTGATAGCATTGTGCACACTCTCAGAGCTCCTCTTTGTTGGGCTGTATGGCCTTCGTCCTCCAGCTGTTAAGACATGCTTACCATGTCACTATCCAAGAACTGAACAAAATATTCTAGATTTGGCCAGTTCAGTACATTCAAGTGAGACTCCCACTCCCTGTGATATTTTTCCACAAGCATATGACACCTTTGGTTTGTGTTATACTTAAAAAAAATTAATTCTTTGCATGGGCATCATTTTCAAGCTGGGGCCCTTCAGTGATGTACCTAACACAATTCATTTTATGAGCTCAGCCCTTTACATTTATGGAAGTTATACGTCATATTCCCATGATTGAGGCATTATTTATTTTTTTGAGTACTTATTTTGGTATTCATCGTGTTAATTTTTTAGTTTTGTGGTTTCCCCCTCAAAGGCCTTTCTATAGATAGATTTCAAGACTAAATACAAATATTCAACCAGTTGCAGTTTTATTTAATTACTATTATTCAATAGAACTTTCTGAAATTTGGTTAAATGGATGCCATAAGAAGTTTTATCCAATAGTTTGCTGAAATCAGGCATGTTTATATAATTCCCTAGATTTGTAAGTCCAGTCACTGAATCAAAAATGGTAGTGAATTTAATGTAGCATGCCTTGCTTTTAGTGAACTCAGCCAGCTTCTTATGATTATCTATTTGTTTCCTAATCTGCTTATAAATGTTGCATTTAATCATTGATTCTAGAATTTTGTCTTGAGAAAAAAACTTACCAATCAGTTCTTTCCTTCTTTCTTTCTTTCTTTTTTTTTTTTTTTGAGAGAGAGAGAGCACACATGCACCCAAGGGGGTGGAGGGGAAGAGGGAGAGGGAGAATCTTAAGCAGGCTCCACTCCCAGAGCCCAATGCAGGGCTCGATCTCATAACCCTGAGGTCATGACCTGATCAAGGGTCAGACGCTTAACCGACTGAGCCACCCATGTGCCCCTTACCAATCAGTAGTTTCTGATAGCCATCCTTTCCTGCTTATCAAAATTCAGGGTTTCTTCTTAACACTTCTTTTGATACCCATCCTAGTCACTCTGATGTCCCATGGATTCCATCATGGGAATCTTGCTAGTCCTACTCATATCCTGTTAAATAATTTGTCTGGTTCTTCAGTGCACTGCTGTCTAATAGAAACATGATGCAAACCACAAAGGTGAGTGACTTATATAATTAAAATTTTTCTAATAGCAACATTAAAAAAGTGAAAAAAAACCCAGGTAAAATTAATTTTAACTTTATATCTCCAAATTATTATCATTTCTACATATAATCTGTGTAAAATTATTGATGAGATATTTTACATTTTTTATACTGTCTTCTAAATCTAGTGTGTGATTTCCTAACAGTAAATCTTATTATGTACTAGACATGTTTTAAGTGCTCACAAACCACACAGAGCTAGCAGTGATCACAATGAATCACACAGGTATAGACATGCTCATTTCAAGGGCTGGACATTATTGTTGTTATTATTATGTATTATTTTATCTTGTACTTCATTCCTATTTTCAAAATATTTCTTCTTTCCTTTTCAGCACGAAGTTCTTGCTCACAGTCAAGAAGGCAAGAGCTAAACAGGGATGGAGTGGCCTCGCTTTCTCTTTGTTAATATTAACGAGGGTACCTTTTACAGTTAAAAACCATAAAGAAAGCTCGTTAAGGGCAACAACATCCCCTAGCCCACAACTCTCTCTAGAACCACAAAATGGGTATGTTACAGAGGCCTGGGAGCTAATTCTCTCCAGATGTTTGCAAAGCGAGCAAGACCAAAAGGTGGAAACTGAAATGACTAAACACTTAATAAGGAGCTGATGGAACCAAGGCCCCAGGGTTGGCTCAGCAATAAGTGAAACACAGAGACCCTGTTTGTTCAGAGGAACTTCAAAGCCCCCTATAAACTCCTAGGAAAGGTGAGAGGCAAAAACGCTACAGAGAATCCAGCATTCCTGCAAAGTCAAACTGGGGACTAACTTGAGATGCTTTTCCTGGTGCTTAAGAAGAAGACCGAGGGGCAGGTCTGGTAAGCAGATGTTTGACTTTTGTTTATGCCCATTCTTACATATAGTATGTGCATGTTGGATAGAAGCATTTCTCTAGCTAACCCAAAGGGGATAAACCAATTAAACATTCAGTTAAAAAAAATAGAAAGAGAAAATGCCTTTTCTGTACTAAGTATTCTCTACACTACAACCATTAAATTGCTAATGAGACATAGTTCATCCAAATAAAGTTGGTTATATTTATCTTCATTTCTTTCTTCCCTCCCTTTAATAGGGGGACAAACAACATGGAGTTTGGGCTAAGATTATAATTAAAGAGGAAGAAGAGAGACTAATTCATCAAACATGGTATCAGTTGAAGGTCTGATACGTTCTCTCTTTGGTCACCAGTTGCCCCACAAGAGAAATGCTTCTGAGATCCAATCCTGTTGCTGTTTTTTTGGTTTTGTTTTTGTTTTTTCATTGCTAATCACTGTGACCTCCAGGTGTAGGCTGTTCACCTTTAATATCTTTCTTTGGGGTTCAAAGAAAGAATGAAACACTGATAGCTCAAAAGGAAGACAAAGAAAGTGATCAACAGTGACCCCATCGCCTAAGCAAAATAGCTGCCATGGAGAGGGGTGGAGAATGGCTCTCATGAAATAGTTGTTAAGAGAGAGTAAAACAGTTCTGGTAGTGTTAGCAACTGAGGCGAAAATCCCATCTTCTCCTGGGAGAATCAACAAAGTGGGTCCGCCAGCTTTTTTTTTTTTTTTTTTTTTTTTTAGAACAGAATTACATAGCATTACATTGAGAATATAATGGTTAGTTAAATTCACAATCTCTTTGGACTGAGGTAGACCTAGGTTAGATTCCCAGTTCAGCTGCTCATCAGGTATGTAAACTTTTAGGTTTTTAACCCCTCTTGGATTTTGGTTTCCTCATCTATAAACAGGGCATGAAAATAGTACCTTTTTTTTTTTTTAAAGGTTTATTTACTATTTTAGAAAAAGAGAGTAGGGGAGAGGGGCAGAGGGAGAGGGAGAATCTCCAGCAGACTCCCCACTGAGCATGGAGACCAATGAGGGACTCGATCTCATGACCCTGAGATCATGACCTGAGCGAAAATCAAGAGTGGGTCGCTTAATGGACTGCACCACCCAGGTGCCCCAGTACCTTCTTCTTAGGACTGTGGTGAAGACAAAATGAGTATCCATGCAAATACTTACCTTTATAGCCCAGATCCTGACAAAAGGTGAGATAACTAATGATACCCAAGGTGATGGCCTATTTTTTACTCTCCATCCCAGGCTTTTGTTCAGTTTTCTCCCTGCAGAAAGGTATTCTCTTGGTCTTCACAGCCTTCAGTAGATTCCATGATTTGTAGACAGATCATTTTCCTTCGTAATCTCCAGAGGATGGGTTCATCAAGATTTGCTCCTTGGGCTGGCTTTCTTGATACAGAAAAGAGGCAGTCTCAATTTAGTCTTGTACTTGGTGAATTTCTTAACTCTGAGCATTTGCTGGAAGTATGGTTTTCTGAGATGGATCACTGGCTAAGGAGCCACATGGCACCCTGTACCCATGTTTCCCTCAGTTCCCCTTCTTAGTTCTTTTGTGTAAATGATCAATCAGCATAATAAAGCATCTCATAAAGTCATGGTTTGACAAGAGAAACATCAGTGTAAATAACACAGACAAATACGGTGAGGAGAAACATCTGGATGTCCACTGCTTGTTTCCTGTTGAGAGAGTTTGGGAATTTGGGGATTTTAACAGTTGGACAGGGCTAATTTTGGAAACTACTTCACATTGTCCAAAAAAAAAAAAAAAAAACCCACACATTTATTGCACTTCACTCATCAGATGAGGGAAGTTGGCGGTCAATTTCCCAGGCCTCTCTGAGAAAAAAAGAGATTGGATTGGACATGGAGCAGACAGTTATCCTTCTCTTCCCACTCTTCACTGCTAGGGACCTCCCACTCCTTCATCATGGTTCAGGTTTCCTTGATTTCTTCCTTTCCTGCTTGCATTCCGTTTCCTCTGAGTTTCCAGAAATCTCAACTTTGAATTTTGGCTTTGCGGCTGACCGGCTAGTTAAAGTTAACAAATCTCTCACTTGGTCTATACCTCAGTTTCCTCTTTTGAAAATAAAATTAATACTAATAGTAATAATAATAGTTACATTTTACACTCAAATTTCACAAGATTGTATAGATCAAGGCTCCTCCCTCTCCTTCCTGTTTCCAGAACATTTAATGTTCTTTCTTGCTTCTATTATCTTTCAATACAAGGCTTCCTTCCCATTCTCTCTCCCTAGAAAACTGTGACTCAGCCTTTTACGGGCAGCCCAGATATTGCTGATCCTGTGAGAGATTCCTGGTCTCCCTCTCACAGGTGATAGTGCTGTATGGGGACAGATGGCAGCTACACTTGGGGTGAGCATAGCGTGATGTATAAACTTGTCGAATCACTATGTTGTACATCTGAAACTAATGTCACATTGTGTGTTAACTGTACTCCAATTAAAAAAAATTTTTTTCAAAGCACTTTTAGTAGCACGGGATATCTTACTACACATCTTTAGTAAGAAACAACGAGTTATAAAATAATGCAATCCAAATCTGGTAAAATATGATATGTGTACATAATTAAATTTATTTAACAGGATGATAAATAGGACTCTTCTTGTCTTGGACTCCAGGCTACAGCAGCAAAGCTGAAAGAACCCTCACATTCTAAAGAGGAGATGCTAGGTACATAATTGCAGATGCTATTAAAAGGTAGACCAGATAGTCTTGTAACACCCCACCACCTCAATCAGCCTACATAAGCAAAGATGAGACACTCAAAGTCAATTTGCTTAGATAGGAACTCCCTTTCCTAGGGGCGGGGGTCACAGGTGAACCCAGAGAGTTGTGCTATATCCTGTCTGAGCACCCTGAAGCCCAGAGGGTGGAGGAGCAGTCTGCAACAACAGGGCAAGGAGAAGAAGCAGCAGAGGGGCCGTGTGACTCCACTATTCAGCGTGGAAGGGATGCCTCAGCTTTCCACAGGCCAAGAGAGTATTTTGGAAGGTAACTGGATTTAAAGCTCCTTGAAGGTCACCCCAGCATAAAACGATCTAGGGTTGCTGCCAAAGCTTGGTGTGGAAGATGGCAAGATGTCACTACCACTAATGTCAGGGAGCTGCACACTGTGTGGTCGTTGGGGTGCAGGCCATTAACCCACACGCCCAACGCTCCAGAGACCCAGGGTATGGGAGCCTCCAATCACAGACAGGCCCAATTAGCCAAGGGAGACCTAAGACCGAAGCAGGGGCAGCAGCCGTGGGGAGAGCATGTTTCTCTCTCTTCCTCTTTCCCTCTCTTCCACCCCAATTCTGGAGAGCCAGTGGTGGGAGAAAAACAGACCCAGACACGCAGCTCCCAGTCCTCACTAAGAGGGGCTGGCCACGATTCAGGCCTATGGGTTACAAATTGGAGGATGCTGGGGAGAGCAGAAGTTCTTACTGAAAGCGAGATGGAAACTTGGATTTAGGCTCAGTGAAACTTGCCATTATAATTGAAAGTGACATTTTCCTTGTGGATCCAGTTTGCTTTCAAGATCCCATTCCTGATGATGGAGGGGGAGCGCTTCAGATTGGCCAGTGAAAAATAACTCAGCTTTCAAGGGAAGCATTCACAATGTTCAGAGCCTCCTTTCTTCTGGTATGTGGCCAGTGGGCTGTCCCGAATTTGCTGCTGCCCCTGGAGCCACTCCTCCTGCTGACTACTTCACTCCCAGAACCTTCACTAACCAGATCCAGGCAGCCCTCCAGGAGCCACATCTCCTGGTGGCTCCTGATCCTGGGGTTGACCACCAGCCTCCCACAGAGGCATCTTAGGTTAACCTGCCAACCACTGCTCAGTGTAACACAGACTCTCCTCCGTGCTATGTGGACACTGTCATCTTCGCAACAACAAGAGAGCCCAGTGGGTCTAACATGCTATGTGATGACCGGGGAAGTTCTGTGTGTGTGTGCCACCTTCCCTCATGGACACCCAGGGGAGCTCATGCCTGATCCATTTTGACAGAGACCCTCAAGAGATTGAAAAGGAAGAGCAGGCTGCTGCTGAAAAGGCCACGACCGAGGAGGAATTTCCGGGTGAACGACTGCTCCAGCCCAAGTAAACGGCTTGAGTTGATGGCTACCGAGCCCAGGTGGCAGACGGGCCTGAAAGCACGCAGGTGGCCTCTGTGCCTATCCAGCAGTCCCCCACTGAAGACCAGAGCCACTGGCCTGCCACTGAAGACTGCTCTCAGCTCCCATTGCTCAGGCCACTGACTGGGTAAGAACAACACTGAGTGGTCTTCAGCTGTTCTTCCACAGGCTCTAAAACAGAACATGGAAATAATATGGATAGAAAATTAAACAGTTTCTTAAAAAAAAAAGGGGGGGTGTGGCTCCTGGGTGGCTCAATTGATTGTCCAACTCTTCATTTCAGGTCAGGTCATGATCTCTGGGTCATGGGATCAAGCCCTGCATCGGGCTCTGCGTTCAGCAGGAAGTCTGCTTGGGATTCTCACTCTCACTCCCCCTCTGCCCTCCCCCACCTCCCCCCACTCTCTCTCTCAAATAAATAAATAAATCTTAAAAAAAGAGAGAGAGAGAAGAAAGAAAGAAAGAGAAAGAAAGAAAGAAAAGAAAGAAAGAAAAGAAAGAAAGAAAGAAAGAAAGAAAGAAAGAAAGAAAGAAAGAAAGAAAGAAAGAAAGAAAGAAGAGAGGAGAGGAAAGGAAAGGAAAGGAAAAAAAGAAAAGAGAAGAAAGGTAATGCAGTCTCTAGGTTTAAAACTGTCCCAGGTAAATATTCAGTGGATTCTGTTAGTAGGAGTACCACAACTGTATCTCCTTCTCAGGTTGTTTTCTCTTTTCCTCCTTATTTCTGTGATGGTGTCTGAGTTTAGGCAGAACCTTACTTGTCCTTTTCACAGTGGGAGGAGAAGTCTCTAATCCATGTACTGTGTCCTCATTTTGCAGAGGAGAAAATAGAGGTTCAGT